TACGTATGTATTCTAATCCATATAAAGGATATAGATCTTGATTCTTGTTGCTTTTCTATAGGTAGGTATATATATATATATATATATATATATATATATATATATATATATTTTGACTGTACGAAACTCCGAAGAGCTCAGGAAGTGTCGTAAATATCGGTTCGCTTCGATTTATCGAGTCCGAAACATTTAGCAAGAGCATAAGACGTATACCGACAAACACGATGGAATTCAAGGAACAAGTCGAGAGTTCGTTAAAACTTATCCGGCCATTCCTACGATCCTTAACTTTTTCTCCGTTTCGATTTCTTGACATCACAATGCCGATCCTTATTGAGAGTGTACATACGTTAAAGTTAAAAAAAAAAAGAAATAAATAAAAAATCAAAAAGAAGAGAAAATTAAAGCACATTTATCTCTTTACCACAAACGGGACATGATATTTTCCCTCTTTCTCTTTCTCCCCCCCCCCCCCTCCCACCGCCCCCTCCCCACCTATCTCTTTCTCTCTTTCTTTATAAATTCTCCATATTCCTTCTCCTCTTCTTCTAATTATGTCCAAGGTTGGCACATTCGATTTCTATCGCATGCCATACGTAGAATGCCTTTTAGGCGATACAATATGAACAGGAACGAGTTTTACGAGTGCAAAAGAAGATAAGTTGCGATTTCCAAGAAGAATGCGAAAGTCCATCCTGAGTTATTCCGTGCTCTGCTCGCATACGAATAACTTGAGAGGAGAAAGGAATAATCGATCGTATCATTTTCAAAGCCCTTTCGTTCAATAAAAATTTGAATATATATCTTCTTATCCGAATAAGACAATTCATCATTATCATTATCGTCATTATTATCATCATCATCATCATCATTATCATCATCGTCGTCGTCGTCGTCATTATTATCATCATTAGCCAAATTATCATTTCAGGTTTATTCCACGCGCTTTATTCGTGAGAATGAAATTGAAAAAAAAGAAAAAAAAGAACTTTCCACATTTGCAAGCTTCTACACGAGAGACATGCATGAGCGACGCAATGCGTATTTCCTTTGGCAAGGAACGCGAAATCTCGGGTGTATCGACGTTGGTAACAGGCGAGTTGTACAACGCTATGTTACTTCAAAGAAGGCTTAGAGTCGAGAAAGAGATAGAAACGGTGAGGAAGAGAAGAGAAGAGAGAGAGAGAAAGAGAGAGAGAGAGAGAGAAACGAGAAAAGAGAAAGAGAACGGGTAATGATCGTGGCTCGTAGTTGTTGACAAAAGAGAGCATTCGCGAGTGGACGAAAGGCGGGTTATAATGGTGGGAGAGAACGGGTGAGGAGGACTGGGGAAGGGGGTTATAAGAGGTAGGAGTCGAGGGTGCGGTGATGCGGAGAACGAACTCGCGGTGGAACGGGCTGGAAGGAATGGTTTTGCGGAGGACATGAAAGGGATGCGCACCGACGCCACGCTCCGACTGTTCCTCCCCTCTTTCTCTATCCCTCTCTCTCTCTCTCTCTCTCTCTCTCTCTCTCACTCACTCTCTTTCGCTTCTCGCACAAGCAAGAACAGCAGGGATGATAGTAGAACCGTATGTCGGTAGCATATATACATACGATATATGTACGTTGTGTTATATAGATATACCTATGCGCGGAGACGAGGTAGGATATTCTATCCGAGCGTGCTTCGCTTTCGGTGGTAATGGTGGGGGATGTTGCGGAGGGATGAACGCGCCGGAGATAAGCCGACTGACGTCAACCGAAGAACCCTTTACCGTCGGCACATACGTGAAATGTCTTGTACTTTCCGAATCTCTATCTTTTCGCTTTTCTAAGAGAAAATTTCGATAACTCAAGAAAGGCAATACGTGGATTTAATAACTTATATTTTATTTTCACATACACACACACACACACATACACACTGATATTTGAATATTTATAATATTTTATTTTTTCTTCTGGTCTAATACTTTACAAATTATCTTGATGTATTAAAATAATATATTATTTTTGTAAAAATCCTTTAGGATATGTCGAATGATCGCGTGTTCTTCCAAAAGAATAATAACAACGAGATTAATAACTTTAAGTATCATACATACTATTCATTAGGAATAACAAATAAGAATTTTCTCATTTCCTTGTCTCCAGGTATAGTGTATATTATATAATTTCTCATTATATAAAGTATGTATTCTAGATATTTTACAATTCTTATAATGCAAATAGAAAGATAACTTGTGGGTCTTATGTATATAAATATATTAAACCGATCGTAATTAAAAATGATTATAATTAAGATGTGCGTTATGCGGACCATGGCTGCGTTCCTATCTTCTTAAATATACATACCTATCTAGAATATCATTAACCATTTACGTTGGTATAATATAATAGATACGCTCATTACTTTTTTTTTTTCTAATTCATATTCAACTTGCATTAGAATGATCCAAGTACAATAAAATCAAATTAAAGAATTAAATGAACACCTATGTGTATATATATATATATATATATATATGTGTATATATATATATATGTGTATATATATATATGTGTATATATATATATATGTGTATATATATATATGTGTGTATATATATATATATATATGTATATATATATATATATGTGTATATATATATATGTGTGTATATATATATATATATGTGTATATATATATATATATACATATATATGTGTGTGTGTGTATGTGTGTATATACATATTTAATAAATAATTAAGAAAATAGCATAAACCCATGGTTCCATTTCATACGAAAAGGACTTCTAATATTTCTATTAAATATTTTATCATCATTAATGAATTAATTTGATGACTATCGATAATAAAATAGGATCAAAAAGAAGAGCGAATCGGAACGCACCTGTGCGAAGCGCAGGAGCCACTGCTGGTTGCTTTAGCGAAAGAGTGGAGGCAAAGAGAGGCAAGCAGGGGTATGTGGGCGGACAGCTCGACGACAACAATGAGCATTGTGATTTGCGCGGGTGTGCCTGGGCTCCTATTGGTCGCTTCTCTTCACCACCTCCACTTCGGCGTCTCGACAAGGCCGATAGGCGCCGGCCGGGGGTTGTACCGTCGCCGCCGCCGCCACCGCCTCCGCTCGAAACAATAGACAATGCGCACTGCCAGACTCCACCGCCGCCTCCAAAGACCTACGTTGCACCTGATTCGACCTCTCTTCTCCTCCTTCCCGTTTTTCCTCAAATCCAACCTTTCTAACTGCAGAATAGAAATCTCCTTTATGACTTCGATCGTTCAAAATGAAATATTCCGATAGCTTTGATTTTGTTTAGACATTTGATTTCTTTTTTTTTTTTTAATAGATATTTTATCACGAATTTTTCAAACTTCAATTACGCAGGTATTATGTTCAAAAAATTGTCAAACATTTTCTTCTTAAGTAAATAATGATTGCGAGAAATTATTGTACTATATTTCGATTATTTTAGATTTTATTATACGAGTCAGAGGTTATATCATCCATGGATATCAATGAATCACTTACTTTTCAACTCGTTCGTTCGAAAAGAAAAAGAAAATAAATAAATCACAAGTACCCTCCTCCTTCCCCCCCCCCCCGACTCCCCGCCTATCGTAGCCGGTTACGACGAAAAATGGCACGCGCTCGAATTACTTGGGTCACAGTGCATATCCATAACCACAAATGTGCGTGCGTGCGTGCGTGCGTGCGTGCGTACGTGCGTAGTACGTGCGCGTTAGTAGCCACGTGACATTCGATAGGTCGAGGTTTCAGTAAAGTTCAGGGGTGGTCGCTCGTGCTCACTAATAAGAATGCGTATAAGTCGTTGTGCTAGGCTCGTTATCAAGGCATAGAAAAAAAAAAAAAATAGTGAAAGAAAGAAGTTGTCGTTTTGCGAGACAGAAAGCAAATGTCAGTACGATCGGCAGACGACAGTTCCAACATGACGAAAGAGATAGGGACAGGGAGAGAGAGAGAGAAATAGAAAGAAAGAAGTTAAAGCAGCAACAGTAATAGTGTAGTAGTAATAGTAGTAGTAATAGTAGTAGTAATAGTAGTAGTAATAGTAGTAGTAGTAGTAGTAGTAGTAGTAGTAATAGTAATAACAACAGAAATGGAGATGGTGGTGGTGGTGGTCAGGTTGTTAGTAGAGGGGAGTAGAACGGGTAGGACTGGATACAGCGTGGGTGTTGGAGAAAAGAGGCGGTGACTACGCCCGTAAAGGGGCGTGCCATTGCGAGTAACTGCTGGCTCTGCGTTGGAGCGCGCGCGCGCGCGCGCCTATGAAGAGAGACGTGACTAAAGGAGCGAGGGTGGGAGGAGGTGGGAAAGAAAGAGAAAGAGAACGATGGTTAGTAGTCGAACGGTGGAGGTTGGCAGTTCGTATTGGTGGTGGTGGTGGTAAATGTGTAGTGGTGGGAGGAAGTAGGACGGAGTGAGTTAACAAAGGCAAGAGAAAGAGTAAGAAAGAGAGAGAGAGAGAGAGAGAGTGAGAGACAGAGAGAGAGAGAAACCACGGGGACGGGAGAGGACAGTAGACGCGAGGAGCGAAAGAGAAAGAAGCTTTGAATGGAGGGGAGTGAGAAAGAGATACAGAGAATGAGAGAGAGAGAGAGAGAGAGGGAGAGAGAGAAAGAAAGAAAAAAAGAAAGAAAGAGAGAGAAGACGAAGCAGTAGCGCGCGCCGGCTAGCCAGCCAAGCCAGCCAGCCAGCCAGCAAGCAGAAGCAGCAGCAGCAACAGCAGCGCCTTCCGAATCTCATCCCGCACGGTCCTCGGGGCCTTCAGTCAGTCAGCCGACGCTCCGAGACGCGCTGATTATTCCCATTGTATGCTTACCGTCACCGTCGCCACCGCCGCCACCGCCGCCACCGCCGCCGTCGTCGTCGTCGCCGCCGCCGCTGCCGCCGCCGTCGCCGTTGTCGTCGAAGAGGGGGAGTGTCTTTCTCTTTCTCTCTCTCCCTCCTCAAATTCGCTACATCGACGTCGGTCTTTCTCTCTCTCTTTCTCTCTCTCTCTCTCTCTCTCTCTCTCTCTCTCTCTCTCTTTATACTACTGTCTCTCTGCATACACCTCTCTTTCTCTTTCTCTCTTTCTTTCTCTTTCTCGCTCACTCCACAAGCAGCAAAGCAGTAGAGTCGCAACCTCCCTCTCGCTCCCGGCCGGCCTTTCCGGTACTACGAGACCGGCGCTCTAGCGAGGTTACACGGCGCCTCGTTGCCCGCGGCAGTGGTACGTGGACCGGAGGAGTGTCGCTAGCACGTCGACGCCGCGAGCGGACGCGTCACGCTAACCGCGCGCGATCCTGTGGATCGCTGAAAGGATCTAAAAGGATCCCCACGCGATACAAAGTGTATACCAATCGATGTAAACGTGATCGATCTTACTCCAACTCATTCAGTGACAGTGTTTTGTTCTTTAATAATAATTCTTCCTCCTTCTCCTTCTTCTCCTCCTCCTCCTCCTCCTCCTCCTCCTTCTCCTCCTCCTATTCCTTCTCCTTCTCCCCCTCCTCTTCCTTGTTACTTCGCTTTTTTCTTTTTTACTCTTTCTCTTTTTCTCTCTCTCTCTCTTTTTTTTAAATTCTTTAATATTGAGAGAATATTCTTTTCGATTGGTGTTGTAATATTTATGGGAAAACTTCTTAGTCCGCCGACAACAACGAATCTTTGAGGAACGAAAACATTCTGTTACTCTGTGAGGAATCATGACCTAGGCCTGATCTCTTGGTGTTGGTTTGGCGGCTGCCGGTTATTGAATCAATTCGTTCCTGCATCATATCGTCTTCGAAGAGACAGATTAAACAGAAACGAGCACGACGGAATCGTCCTATCGTCATCTTTATCATCGTCATCGTCATCTTCTTTTATATCGTCGTCATCGTTCTCCTATTTTATTGTCGGCAGTGTCGAGTTTGTGCAGGTGTGCGTTTTGTTTGATACGTGACAAGTGTCGCTACACCGTCGTCGACGTGCCGAACGCGATACCGACGCACGGGCAGAATGATATGAGTACGTTTGGCAGGTGAGTGACAGCTCGTTTTTTCTTTCTTTCTTTCTTTCATTTTCTCTCTCTCTCTCTCTCTCTCTCTCTCTCTCTTTTGTTATTTCTTTCTAATACTTTTATTCATTTTACTCTCTCATCTCGAACGTAGTCGATTTTAAGATTTTGCGAAATTATGTGTTTTAATATCGATCGATCGAAGAATCGAATAGAAAGATTAAATCGTTGGATAGAATAAGTTTGATATATATATATTTTTTTTTCGTTCATATGATAAAAAGAATCGTGTCGGTTAATTCTTGGTTAACAGAGTAGATACGCATCAACGAGCCATGTGTCCGCGAACGATGGAAATGAGATAGAGGGATTCAGGACGATTAGAACGGAACGAGAGGGAGAATGAGAGAGAAAGAGAGAAGGGGAAACACAACTACGGGAAGGGTGTCAAAGTGAGAGAGGAAACGCATCTGACCCAGTGACCCTTCTTGCTTCGACCTCTCCTCTTGCCTTCCTTCCGCCAGATTCCACACACTCCTTCGGGCTTCTAAGCCCTCACACTCGACCCTTTCGAAATCCTCAAACTCCTCTTTCTCGAGGGATGGTAACAAATACCGACAAAATCACACGAGAAATCTAAGAAATCATTTATCTTCGCTTTATCATTCATTGATTAATGAGTTAAGATCTAAAAAATCGATGAGTATCGATCTTGAGAAAAAAGAAAAAACAAAAAAGAAAATGTTTATAAAGTATCATCAGACTGTATTTTTGGTAATAAGTAAACAAAGATTCCATCGTGAGTTAACCGTACTCTCATATTAACTGTAGAATCTGTCAGTAGCTGTCCTCATAAATCACTTGCAAAAAAAAAAGAAAAATCGTAACTTCTTAAAAATTCGTTCGTTTTCAAGATAATTTTCAATGAGAAACATTGAATGAATCTTCTACGTTCCACGGAGATTCGGAATCTAACAGGAGATTTGAATTTTTAATGGTATCTAACGGTGAGAAAGGTGCCGACGTGTGTGATCATCTTAAGAAAGTGTGAGATTGCGTGCGTGAGCCGCATGTCGGTTTCGGGGCGACTTAAAGCGCACAGTGGGAGCCCTTATTGTTGAGCGATCTCTCTCGAAGGGTCGCCGCATTGCTCCCCTAACGTAAACAGCCCTTGTTCGTCGCCTAAGGGTGAAAGAAAAGGATGGATAGAGAGAATCGGGGAGGGGTAGACGGGCCCTTATTAAAAGTCATAAGAGAAGTAAATTTTTCATTGTAAACCAATTAAAATATACATTGGTATAGATAGGGTGATCGAATGTAACGTGTGTTTCGTGTTACATAAAAATAATGTTACATAGTACCTAAAACCTGAAAGTTTCTTTTCGTTAAAGCTCACTTGGAAAGTTCAAGCTTTCTGAGACTCTCGCACCGCTGGAGATCGAACACGCACGTTCTCTTCTCTTACCCGTCTATATTTATGATCCTTTGTCTAACTCTAAAACTTTAAATATAGACAATCATCGGAGGTTTATTTATAACGGCGCTCCTTGAATTATTTTTAAACGAACACGCCGATTCCCTATAACTATGCCGGCGAGATTTCTTTCGACTAAGACGCGCCGGGTTAATGCGTTTCGCGTATAAAACGTGCGTTATCGTGGTATAGCTCGTTTGTCGGCTTGGTAAAGAGCCTTCCTATTACTTACTACCATGAGTATCGCTCATGCATTTCTCCTTTTTATTTTTTATTATTTTATGTATTTTTTTTTTTTTTTTTTTTTTTTATTTAATTTTGTTTTTGTCTCTTTTTTGGTATTTTTATTTATTTCTTTTTTATTTTTTTTATTGGTTATTAGTCACTCGCGAATCATCGTATCGAATCGTTTGCCAACGACATTTATGAAAATAACTAGCAAACGTTATGTAAACTTCCTAGTATATACTCTCTCTCTCTCTCTCTCTCTTTCTCTCTCTCTCTCTCTCTTCTTCTTTTTTCCCCTATAAATTATATACATATATATCATTTTTTATTGATTGAACAAAATAACCGAGTAACTAATCCGAGTTTATCTCTCGTTAATCGGGAAAGCACTTTCATTTCCGGGTTAGTAAGAAGAGTTAGTTTTCCCCCAGAATAACTTCATGTTTTTGTGGATGCTACCCACTCAGTGTAGTTAGGTATGTAGGTAGTAGGTATGAACGATCGCGCCAAAAATATCGAATCATTTTCGAGAGAACAGGGTGAAGGGATGGCGGGGGAGTGATAATAATAATAAAGCCGCGAGTCTACTTGCTTCGAACTATTGTCGCGCAGGTCGTAAGTATCGATGATACATGTCGCGAAAGATGGCACGCGTTCGTTCGTTCGTTCGTTTGCGTAATCACATTCGACCTCACTCGAAAATGGAATAGAAAGAGAAAGACAGAGGCAGAGAGAAAGAGAGAGAGAAAAAGAAAGAAAGAGAGAGAGAGAGAGAGAGAGAGAGACAAGGTGAAAGGGAGGGAGAGAAATTAATAGTAACGATTTCGATCTATTTTTCGAATTACATCGGAGGGAAACTACCCCCTATCAATTATAAATATGTTACTTGAGCTTACGATCGTCGAACTCATTTACGCTTACGTTTATCTCTTCTTACATAATTTAAAGTACGTATGTACATTTGAATTTTCAATATGGTCAAGTTTATGTGTTGCTATAATGTTAGTTAAAAAAAAAAAAAAAGAAAAAATTATATTCATCCCTTTTATAATATATCGATATTATTTTTTATTTCTCCTTTTGTAAATGATCTTATATAAATATATATAGATATATATATAATTATATTCCTTTTTTCGTAATTCTGCTTGCTTTGTTTGACAAAAAATATCGATTTTAACGTAATCAAAAAGTATTATCTAATATCTTTCATAACTTCTTTTTTCCTTTTTCTTTCTTTTTTTCTTTCTTTTTTTTTTTACGAGGAAAGATACACAAAAATTTTGTTATTGTATGCTTGAAAAATTGGATGTCAAGCTTGACACGAAGAAAAAAATCCCAAGTTTTTATCGCTTTTTTTTCTTTTTTTTTTCCGAGAGGCAAGAAAGCGTGTAGATTTCTTCGAATTTTATCAAAGAGATGAAGAAGAAGAAGAAGAAGAAGAAGATGAAGACGACGTAATGTTACATATATTAGAAAGAAAAAGATAAGCATTGTGATTCTCGCTTAAAAATATATAATGCCCATTGTGTCTCAAGAAATCATTCATTTCAGTTCGGATAACTCTTAAGATGATAACGAGGTTTAGAATATATGAACGAGTAGTAGGGATTCTAACGGTGACGTGGTACGAGCTTTGAGATATGTGAACGATTCTATAATTACGTCCGACGTCTACTAGGTATAATACAATGAATTTGGAAATGCGAGCGTGTAAACTCGACAATGAAGGAGATATACTGCGTATTTTGATTGCGTCAGTGACTACGTTATGTTCGTAGGAGAGACAAAGCACAGTACTAAAGTGTCAAAACATGAGATTCTCGGTTTCTCTTGATGCAAGAGAAAGATGGCGATAACGAGAGTGATTCCGAGCATTAACATAGTGGCATAGCTGTGTGTGGTGAGGAAGAAAGAAAAAGAAAGAAAAAAGAAAAAACAAAAAAAAAAAAGAACAAAAAAAAGAAAAAGAAAAAAGAAAAAAAAATGAAACAAAAAAAAGGAGTAGCCATTCTTGCGCAAATCGACTTTAGAATGAAACGAAGAATGAGATAAACTAACAATATAAACAATAATGATAAAACATCATCACGTAGAGATATCGTGTTTCTTTCGAGATGATATACCCTTTGGTATATTGAAACGTGATTATTCTGGAAGAGGTCCTTTATTTATTTTCATTACTATGATTATTTTTAGAACCGTGATAACAAAAATTTATTAAAAAAAAATTACGATATTTATTATCTTTATAGAATTTCTATGTAACACGATTTCATGTGTCAATCAATATATTTAAAATCGATCCACAATTTTTTATTTATTATTTCATAGTTCCAAAGAAACAGGTTATATTAGTTCAAATGTCCTACACGTGGATTAATGGCCACTCGTGTGAATGAGTTATTGGAATATATGCATGATATACGCTATATATCGATACAATGTAAAAACGAATAACATCGATTTATCTTAATAGCTAACCTAATAATCTTCGTGGCATTGCAATTATAAAAGAAGATAAAAACCTATCGGGCAAGTACTCGGCGTTTGATCTATCGATGTTCTCCCACTCTTCTTTTTCTCTCTCCCTCTCTCTTCCCTTTCTCTCTCTCTCTCTCTCTCTCTCTCTCTCTCTCTCTCTCTCTCTCTCTCTCTCTCTCTCTCTCTCTCTCTCTCTCTCTCTCTCTCTCTCTCTCTCTCTCTCTCTCTCTCTCTCTCTCTCTCTCTCTCTCTCTCTCTCTCTCTCTCTCTCTCTCTCTCTCTCTCTCTCTCTCTCTCTCTCTCTCTCTCTCTCTCTCTCTCTCTCTCTTATAATATCGTACTTGACTTTGACCGATCTAATAAATATCGTATTATCGTTCGAAGAGAAAATAATATAGGCAAAAGGTATTATTCCTCTATCAAAATTACTTAATCGTCGTGGTTCGATTTCGTGCCGATCGATATGTCGACGTTAACGAGATAATAATTTAAAACGATGAAAGACAATCGTTAAGCATAACTTCAATTCGTTGAAAAATAAAATTTCAACGAATGATCATAGTGATACGAGTTTGCGAGATATCTCGTCCGTCGGACGCGTAACCTGAAAAACTTGCGATCTACATAAACGTGAATAGTAATATTAATAATTGATTACCGTTATTATAAACCGAATATGATAATGTCGAGTAGAAACGAATGAATATAATTAAATGGAGACGTTTAATGGAGATTTAACATATCTTACCTACTTATCGAAGAAATATTGCCGCATAATCAAGATAAACTACATATATTATGTAATTAATTGTAAATAATCCTATTAAAAATTCATTAA